AAGAATCTAAAATATCTATCTGCATTAATATTTACTTTATTTTTTAGTGCACTTCTTCATCTTAACTTCTATATCCATCTTAGGAGCACCGTCTAAATATAGCCTAACACACTCTTGGCTCATACATATCCTTTCGGCATAGTTGTTCATAGACTAGGTCAACTATTGTCTGAGCTGGAAGGTATCCACTCATGACCAATATTCTTTCATTAACACAGGTGTTTGTGATCTAAATTACAAGATTGTCTAAGGTGGAAAGAAAACATCAACCTGTGCATGTACATTGACATCTTCAACTAGTACCATAAAGGGGAAAAACTCTTTCTCTGAGTATAATACATACAAGCATTCATGTATACAATATTTTTATTTTATTCTTCATAGCACATTATTTTCATATGAGACAATTTATATTTATCTACAAATGAAGAAATACATCTCTATTATAATCTAAGGGTGTTGTAATAATCTAACATCTTTGTAGGAGTATTAATATGTAACTATTTATGCAGCAAGGTTAGCATGCATATTTCATACTGAACATAATAAAGAATAAGTTTTAATTTAAATCTCAATGGTATATGGCATAAATATGAAAATGTGAAATCAAGAATACATTTAAAATTAAAAAATATTATTATAATTTAGAAATTTAACTACTCATTTTATCCTTAAAAAAAAACCTTCTTAATGTTTATTCCTTTATTTTACTTTCTTGGACTATCACCTATATCAATCAAAAAAGCATATATAAGAATTTTATTTCCTAAAATAATTGACTTAAATATAACTAATTGAATAAACTATTTTTTCCCAATCATTTTTTTAAATCAAATGCTCTTTTATTTTTAATTCCAACTCAAGAAATTTAATATTTTACTTAATGAGGTTTAATTAAAATAATATATTAAATAAATACATAAACTTTTACCTCCTCTTTCATTGCCCTCACTTTTTCTCAATTTTCAATACAAATATCTTCCTCCTATACTTCTAACATTTATCAATAAAATAATAATTAATACTTTCAATTAAGTATTTAAAATTGAAAATTGAAAATTAATCTTAAACTTATATCATTTTATCTCTTCCTTTGTTATACGATTTGTTGCTATTGATATCACTTGTCCTTTAATTTGATTGCTTGTCTATTTTAGTCATTGATTTTGATTCATAAACTTAACTATTAACTTAATAACATTAAATAAAATAACTCCTATATGTTAAACGCCAAACTCTTACTCGATTACTCCTCTCATTCAAATATGAAAATCCTTCCTCTTCCGCTCTCTCCTTCCTTTGATTCAAGTCGATTAATCGTTACAACCCTTCTCACACTATCTCAATGCTTCAATTATAAAACCGCTTATCTATGCCTTTTATGTTTGGTTGTCTCTCACACGATTCTCTTTTCCTGCAAGCGATATCGAAGCCTAAGTAGTGCACTGTTTATCCTTTATTTCTTAGACCTGCTAGACTTCGACCACGCCTTCTGCACACAGTAGCGCCACACCTCACACAAAGATTCTCCTCTATCCTTCACACAGAACGCAAGCAACGATGTTGGGATCATTCGGTCTACTAGAGCTACACATTGTGTTTCTGCTTTGTGCACTCCGACTCATCACCTGCACACGACTCAAAACGCAACGTCTGGTCTCATACTGTCGCTTCTTCCACACACACCGACCTCACTTGAACTCGCATAGGCAGCGTTGTAACCTTTTTCTTTTCCCTTCTCACTAACCCTAGTTCTGTCTCGTGCTCTGCCCTTTATATTTTTTTTGTCGTTGGTTCGAATGGAGACTTGTTCTCTTAGTAGAGAACTGTCGAGACGGTTATTCAAACCGACCTTATTATTATTATTATTATTATTATTATTATTAGTATTATTATTATTATTATTATATTCGATTATTACAACCTTCTTAACTTAAAAAATTCTTCCTTGAAATTTAAGGATAGTTAAAAAATAGACCTTGGTTGAATGTTTTGTCTTGGTTGGTTGTTTTTAGTCACGATACCATCTTTCGTCATCTTCTATTGCTACTTTTAAAGGTAGATCCCTCCTGAAAGTTTTCCAAGTAAATTCCTTCTTGAGTTAGCATTTGGTGTGGATCTATAATACTTGAAAAATAAAATAAAAAATTAATAAAAGAAAATGAATTTTAACAGGCCGTGTTGATTTGATGTGTCTTGACAGTTTAACCTTAAAGGGGCGAGTGTCCCTTTCTAAGAAAGGAAAAGAAGCGAATTAAATTGAGTGAACCAGAGCGAGAGTCAGAGAAGAAGAAGAGGCCGAGTGGAGGTGCCTCTCTTGCGGATAGCAGCAGAATATCTTTACGAAGCTGAAAGACTTCGATTTCTTGGGAGAGAGAAGCCAAGTGTG